CATTTGGAGGACTTTACTTTTAATTCGGTGCCAAAGCGCTCAGGCACCGACGCGATTCGGGACACAAACCGATTTGCATAAATTTACGCGCAATGATAGCCCCGCTTGCTCGCTCTCTCCACCCCCAATCGACGTACTAGACCCATTCGCTCCGTCACTCTCGGCGTGATGAAACGCTGTCGTCACCGGTCTGCTAAAGCCACGGGCGCTTGTCCAAGGCGTCGACATCGCTGGCGATGACACTGAGTCGCGGCATGACAATGGGCTGGGCCAGACTAGAGAATACCCTCTAGGGAAATGAAAGTAAATGTTTGCGCTTGTTGACCATAGAATCCCATATAGATTGTTTCGAAGTTATTTGAAATGAAATGAAATAACGTTTTATACTTTCATTGCCATTGCTCTGCTTCTGCTTAAGCTAAAGCGAAAATCTAAGAGGCACTTATTATTATTTAGGATCTGCAATCTCTTGCAAGACTTTCCAACTTGTCGGGAGATTGAGCTAGGGTATTGCAAGGACACTTAATTAAAAATTTTATTACGCAAATTTTGCCTTTTGTGTCGATAATTTTATGCTTATCATCGGCGCCGAGCTGCTGGCGGCTTCTAATTTGCAACATCAGCTCTGGGCTGAGACTGGAGCTGGGTCTGGGGCTGTGGCAAAAGGTGTTGCAAATACGCACAGTGAATACAAAGGCAAGAACGCTGCAAACAGCCAGCGGACTCAGACTTCCACCCACGCCCATGCCCATGCCCACACCCACGCCCCCACTCAGCAGCCAGCGGGCAAATACATAAAAACGGAAATTAAAAAGGAAGCCAACGCAGCAAACTCACGACACGGCCAGCGATTGCTGCTGCTTCTGCCAGTTGGCGACTTGCGCTCGGACCTGGTCTGCGATATCGTCTTGGACGATTTTACTTTGCTTTCTGTGCGTGCGTGTGTGTGTGTGTGTGTGAGTGTGTATAGCCACCACTAGGACCATTGCTGCTGCCTCAGCCCTCCTTGCCCCTCCTATTCCCTAGCGCCTGAGTCGAACGGAAGTTTTCGCTTAATATGCAGGAAATTTCATTAAAGTTGCTACAACTTGGTTGGCGCTAGGGTTAGAGCAGCCAGAGGTGGCTCACGTTGAAGCTTTGTCACTTGATCGCTATTATTTTGATGCTCATCAATTCGGATGTCTTTCTGACAGCTGGCGTAACCAATTAGCTGTTAAAAACCCTCTTTATACTAAAGCTTTTTTACGTTACCTAAAGGCTTACGTAGACCAGGCAAACTCATGTCAAAGTAATAAAGTTAAATTTGGAATCACTTAATCAGAAGACTGACATATTAATGCATTGTAAGGCATGCCGTGGTTGGTTATTAATGGAAATTGAATTGTTTACTTACTTTATTTGGTTTGTCTGCTCTCTAAAATTTTGTATATTAACGTTTGTTTACCTTACGTAATTGCTAACACTACGAATTTGCTTATGAAACGTCATAGCTGACCTAACGATACTGCTTCGTCACGTTTACGTTACGTAATTGCTTGTCTTACGTAGTAACGTTACGTAATTGCCTATGTTACGCAGTAATTTATTGTTTGTTGTAGTAACGTTGCGTTGTTGTGTGCCTTACATGTACATATGTATGTATACTTTTCTTACTTGATTCGATCTGCAATCCCATATAGTACGTAATTTTGTTACGTAACTCCACATCTTACGTAATAGTTCCATAATTACGTAACTCTGTTACGTAATTCCATAATTACGTAACTCTGTTACG